TAGAGGCCTAGTCAGGGTACAGAAGGAGAAAAGGCACAAGCATGGTGCAGCCCCTACTGTCACACACACCATTAACCACCTCTCTCCACTCCCACCAGCGTCTTCTCGATTCCTCGGAGTCCCACAAGGTCCCACCTGCCACAGGGCCTTTGCTTTTGCCATTCACTCTGCCTGGACTGTCTTCATCTTCAAGTCCCACAGCTAGTTCCTTACCCCCAGGTCTCTACACAGATGTCAGAGAGGCCTTGGCTGTCCCCCCTCAGAGAGGACCATCACTAAGGTAGCCCCCCCAACTCCTATCTCCTTACATACTTTATTTTCTCTAAATAAAGTACCAGCCACTACTTGCCATTCTACGAGATATTTAATTATTTGTTTACTGTCACATTAGAATTTTGGCTTCACTAGAGCGGGGACCTTTGTTCTATTTACCATATAGTGTCCCCACTGGCCTGGCACACAGGAGTTGCTCCATAAATGCTGAATAAATGGGTAAAAACAGCCGGGAGTTCACACACAGTCTGAGACCTCTGTGTGTTCAACGTGTATCCCCAAGGAACTTCATGCTGGGCACTGGGGTGGCCTATCATGGTCAGGGACACAGATGTGGCTTTGCACCTCTGAAATCACGGTCCAGGTGGGGAGATGAATGTGAATGAAATAAGCTCAGAGTAGTAGAGACTTGAAAATTCTGGTATGTTCTTTTTTTTTTTTTTTTTTTTTTAATTCTGGTAGGTTCTAAGAGGGAGACCAGTGAGGAGCTGAACTAGAGCCTGACATAGCATGGGATTGGGGTGTCTATTTTAGACTGGGTGGTCAAGGAAGACTTCTCTGAATATGTGGTGCGGGGCTGAGCCCTGCCCCCAAGTCATGAGAAGGCAGCGGCTATGGGGAGACAGGGCGGGAGGGTGTTCTGAGCTGAGGAAGAGTGAGACCGAATGAGTCAGGGATCTGAGGGCTGAGGAATCCCGGGCCCAGGCCTTCCCGGTGGGCTCACCCGGGAGAGACAAAGAGGGTTTCACCTTCCTGGAGTGTGTGGCCAGGCAGGTCTCGCTCACTGTCACGGGGGTGACATCCCCACCCTGGCTGCAGCCCACCCATCCTCCCAGTGAGCACGGGTGCCCTGTGTGTCCAGGGCCCTCCTCTCCCACGTGGCTTTTGGCTTCAGGCTAGGGACACACTTTGATGGGGTGAAAGAGACCTTGAAAGAGGAGCAGCGGGGCACAGAAGGGACTGTATGCATAGAGACATGGGAAGGTGACATTCTGCAGGCAGGGGGAGAGCTGATAGAGGGCCCAGGGTGTGGATACCACCGTGTGCCAATGTGTGTCATCTAGGTGTATTTCCTGTGTGTTGTCACGTGTGTGTGTCAGCAGGTGTGAGTATCAGTGCATGTTTCTGGCTAGTGTGTGGTCTGTCTCATGTGAGTGTCAGCACATGTGAGCTTGTCCATGTGTCTTGTGTGTGTGCGAAGGTGTGTGTCAGCCCCACTCATGTATTTGTCTCGCCTTTTTGTTTTTAATGTTTGTTTATTTTTGAGAGAGAAAGAGAGAGAGTGAGCGGGGGGAGGGGCAGAGAGAGAGAGAGGGAGACAGAGAATCCGAAGCAGGCTTCTATGGCGCTGAAGCCGGATGTGGGGCTCAAACCCACAAACCGTGAGACCGTGACCTGAACTGAGCCGAAGTCAGACGCTCAACCGACTGAGCCGCCCAAGGCGGTGCCCCTGTCTCTCTCTCTTTTTAAGATCTTATTTTTGTAAGTAATCTCTACCCCCAACGTGGGGCTTGAACCCACAACCCCGAGGTCAAGAGTCGCCCACTCCATGGGCTGAGCCAGCCAGGCGCCCCATGTGTGTGTCTGTCTACTGTTGTCAGTCTCTGCGTGTGGTGGCTGTCGCCCTGTATGGGGAGTTGCGGTGAAGGTGACTAATTCCCTGTGGGGCGGCTGGTGCCCGTATAGACGACTCTGTGTGTGTCCCTCAGAATCCGAATGAGAAAACACCTGCCCCCACGTGCCTGCGTGCGTGAGACGCGATCCCCGAGTCACAGTGCTTTTCTCAGAGTCGTTTTGTTCTTTATTGTTACTGCTGTCAACAATATGAGTGTCACTGCTGAGGACATTTTCTGAGGAGAGGCTCAGCCAAGCCGGATTGGACCAGGGGCCACGATGGGGCACAGTGGCCCCCTGAGACAGGGGCTCTGGAGCCGGAGGCCTGGGTCTTCCACCTGGGATCCCTGAAGGGGAGGGGGCAGAGAGAGGAGGAAGGCTAGACCCCCAAAGACTCCAGCTGTTTCCCCACTCCTCCCAGGAGGGCTCCTGCCCATCTCCTCCCTGGAGAAACTGAGTCCGGATGGGCTCAGCTAGGTGAGGAAGGGCTTACCCTTCCTGAGCCGGGCCTTGGTGGGGGCCCAGGGACACCCCACATCTGCCACATAACTTCTTGGGCTGGACGCTCTTCCTGGGCACCAGCCAGCAGCTGGAGCAGCGGGTGCCATATTTTTTGTACCTGGGGTGGGGGGTACAAGAAACCAACATCAGGATGCAGCAGGGGCCCAGAAACTGCCTCAAGGGAACCACTTTCCCCGAGGGTGTTTCCCTTCCCGGAACCCCACACTGGCTAAGCATCCAAACTCCTCCTCCGTTCTGAGGACCTGATACCACACGCATTGCAGAGAGGGGTCCCGTCTTCAGCATCTCTCCAGAGTGGGGTCCTCTGGGTCCTACAGGAAGCACAGCACCGGGGCCCTGAAGGGGCAGAGGTCAGGGTAAGGGGCAGAGGCCAAGAGTCTGGGCTCAGGAGGCCCGTGCAGGTGGGGCATGTTGTTGGAGTCTCGACGAGGGCCCCACCCGGCTCCGGGCCAGCCCTGGGTATTACCAGATCTAAAGCAGAGGGAAAGCCAGGAAGGGAGACAGATGGCAAAGCTAAACAGAGGAGGAAACCGGGGGTGGGGGTGACTCAGCTCGAGTGGAGGGAGGTGCACCATGACTCCTTCTGGATGGGTCTAAATGGGGAAGCAGGACGGGAAGAAAGACAGAGACGATGGGAAATTGCCTCCCCCCCACAAATATTTATAGCTGTCAAGTCTCCGGGACTCACCCAGGGCCTCGCCGCCTCCTGAGTTGGCCTCAGGGCCCCCCGCAGGGCCTGTGGAGGGACCCTGGGAGCGGCTAGTGCAGGTCAGGCTGGAGAATAGACAGGAGTTAGCACTGGGGGATCTGTATCTCGTCCAGGGCAGCGCCCCTCGATGACGAAGATGATTCACTGTCCGGGCATCAGGCATCCCCCGAGGAGGCTTCTGATGTCTGAAAGGCCTGACCTTGCCCCTCGTTAACAATGATAATGGTGATTATCATATGAAGAGGTAGGAAGCCTGGGGCCAGCCTGCCAGTTTGAGTTCCTATTTCTCCCAAGTCCCCACCTCGTGACTCTGGACAAGTGATCTCACCCTCTGCACCTCAGTTTCCAGATCTGTAAAATGGGATTCACGAGGCTTCAATGAGCCCATACACATCAAGTGCTGCCTGTTACCTCTTATTGTTGTTCCTGACAAATGGCTGTCATTAACATTATTGAAAAAAGTAACAGTAGCGGCGGCCCTCAGGATGGTCGGGCCCATCTCATAAAACCAGTGACCGATGTTCACCGACTTCGGCTCGGGTCACAGTCTCACGGTTCACGAGTTTGTGCCCCATGCTGGGCTCTGTGCTGATTGCTCAGAGCCTGGAGCCTGCTTTGGATTCCGTGTCTCCCTCTCCCTCTCTGCCCCTTCCCCGCTTTTGTGCTCTCTCTCAAAAATGAATACGTTGAAAAAAAAAAAAAAAGAACCTGCGCTCAGACCAGAACGTCGCTGGATCAGAGCAGCAGGGCTGGGACGGGCACCAGCCTGAGGTCTCGAGCCCTTTGTAACTGTAGGGCTGGCGTGGGCGTCCATGAGCAGATGCCTGGAGGTCCCTGCCCCCACCATTATCACTATAACTTGCAAAAAAGGGCGCCCTCCTCTGGGCCAGCCCCTACCTGTAGCTGGCTAGGATCTGGAGGCTGGAATCCGGCTTTATTTGAAACTTCAGGGTCACCCCCTCAAACCGGGGATCCACTCTCTCAGCGCCCCGGTGGGGCTTTGACTGCTTCCGGGGCTTCCTCTGGGGTAGGGCTGAGGGGGCTGGGGGAGCCTCCGGGGGCCTCGAGCTGCAGCATTGCTGGCTGATTGGGGTCAGCATGTTCTCGGCATCCCTTGCCAGAGGCGAAGGTCCCAGAGACTCCAAGGCCTTCAGCTCCCGGGAGGCCCCCAGGGTTTGGGTGTCCTGGGCAGGGCGCTGGACCAGCCCCTCTGCTGTTTCTTGGAGAAAACGCAGGGCAGTGACGGAGTCCTGGCGTGCAGGCCAGAAGGACCTGGGGACAAGGGACAGTGTGGGCAGCACCTGTGCAGTCTTCAGAGACATGGGCTAAGGGGATTGCGTGGCCTCTGACCCCCATATGACCCCAACTCTCCCTGGGGACCAGAACTTCTTCTTTTTTAAGCACCAGTAACTAACACCGTGACCCCTGGATAACCCCAGGAACCAGCGGTCCTGACCCTTTGACCACTGGGTCAGGTTTGGGGAAGGGGCCGCTCCTTCACGCACCTGCCATTGGGTCTGGGGCATCCTGGGGTCCTTGGTGCCTGCTGAAGAGGGGGCGCCCGAGACGCCTTAGGGTCCAGACACGTCGGCGCCAGCAGCTCCTGGAGCTTGGAGAAGTCTGGGACAGGCCGGGCCTCCATCGCGCCCCGGCCCTGCCCCACCTCCCCCGCCCCGATCGCGCCCGGCCCCGCCCACCCTGGGCCCACTCGATGAGCCCCACCTGAGGGGAGCAGGACGCGCCTGGTGGGGGCGCCTCTGCAGAGGGTGCAATGAGCCCCACCTGGGCGGGGCCAGCGGGGTCGGGCGCCTCTAGCAGGCGATGCTCGCACCCGGTTCCCAGCGCCTCAGGCCAGCCTCGGTGCCACTCTGGTCACCCGGCTCAGGTGGACTTCGCACCCCGCCGGGCCGGGCCGGACCCCTCCGGATCCCTCCGCGGCGGTGGGGGCGGGGCCTTGCCACGCCGATCCACGTGTGCTCAGGCCCCCACGCCCTCTCCTCCCGGGAGGTTCCAGGTCTCCGCCCCGGTGGTCCCCCACCCCCGCGGCCCCATCGCTGCTATGAGAGGGCAGAGTTGGGGGTCCAGGTGAAGAAGATGCAGCCATAGACCCCAGGCCTGCCCGCCCCTGAGGACACTCAAGATGCTGGAGGTCTGTGAGACAGTTTTATTGTCATTCCAGTCAGATTCCACCCCATCCACACACTGATTCTCCTGAGTCTGGGGGAGGCTCCCGGGCAGGGGCTGGTGCCCCTCCCACCCCCCACCCCACCCCCCACCCAGAGCCTGGACATGGGATCTGAAGCAGGGGCTTTGGGCTTCTGGCTGCTCCCAACATCTCTCTCGGGCCTGTCCACGCTCTGGGCTGGGCGGGCAGCTTGGCTATTCTTCCAGTCCTGGCCCCGAGGGCCACGACGGCTGCCCACGTCAGTGGGGCTTGGGGACATGGCCGTCCACGTAGAAGTTCCTGGTGATCTTCGGCAGGGTGAATTCGGCCCCTTCCAGCTCTGGAGTCAGCACGATTTGGCAGCCCAGCCGGGAGTTCTCCTGAAGAAGGGGGGCCATGTCCAGCATGTCGTCCTCCCTGGAGCAAGGAGAACAGCCGTCAGCGGCGGGCATGGTGTCTGGCTGGCGGGGGCCCCGAGGGTGGGCAGGAGCAGGCTGCCCAAATCCAGGGGGGATGGTCAGGAGGCAGCGCCGCCGCCAGCAGCCGCGAGGGGGCGAGAAGCTGGGGCTGCCTTCCACCGCCGCCCGTGTGGGCCTCTGGGCAGCAGGGGCGCGGACTCAGCGGCCGGGCCCTGCCGCGCAGGCCCGGGAGGGGCCGCCTGCTCACCGCTCATCAGGAGGAGGCAGGAGGTCCAGGTGGTCCTCGCTCACGTACACATGGCAGGTGGAGCACGCCAGGGAAGCTTCACAGGCCCCTGGGGGCAACAAGTGGGGACGTGCCGGTGAGGGACACGGTCAGGCAGGTGCGGCTCGGTCGAAGGCATGAGGGAGGAGAGGCCGTTTGTTTCACCAGACGCCCCTCCTCTCTCCGTCCTCTGCACACGCACCGTGTGGCCCCCCCACCCTGTCATTCGCTCAGCTAGCCGTTCCCGAACTGTGGATAGGCCTGCAAAGGGACGTCCAGGGTGTCCTGTCTCCCAAGGACTCCCCAGTGGCCTACGTGCATGGCACCATGAAGGAACATGGACTTGACTTCAGTGTAGCTGAGAGGTGAAAACTCAGGCAGGGTCCCCATAGCCTGTAAGCCCTGGCTGGGACCCTCTCGCCGCACCAGGCAAGGGTGTACCCATCTCTCCGTTGCTCCTAAAGATGGGACCAGCTCACTCCACACCTAGTGTGGCAGAAGAGATCAGAATATCAGGGTTGCAAGACGCAGAAACTGGGGTTTCCTGCTTTTCCCTGGACACATTCCCAACTTTTGGATTGATCACTGAGAACTGTGCTTCAGGATAATGTCCTTCCTGGCCTAAAACCTTCCAAAGGGTTTTCTTTCTTTCTTTTGTTTTCTGTTTTTAAGTTTACTTTGAGTGGGGCGTCTGGGTGGTTCAGTCAGTTAAGCATCCAGCTTCAGCTCAAGCCATGATCTCACGGTTCATGAGTTTGAGGCCCGCGTCGGGCTCTATGCTGACAGCTCAGAGCTTGGAGTGTGCTTCGGATTCTGTGTTTCCCTCTCTCTCTGCCCTTCCCCTGCTCACGCTGTTTCTCTCTCTCTCTCTCTCTGAAATAAATAAATGTTAAAGTTTATTTTGAGAGAGAGAGAATACCAAGCAGGCCCCGCACTGTCAGCACGGAGCCCGATTTGGGGCTTGAACCCCCCAACCGTGAGACCATGACCTGAACCGAAACCAAGAGTCAGACGCTTAACTGACTGAGCCACCCAGGCACCCCTCCAAAGGGTTTTCATAGCCAGAATAAAACCAATCCTTAAGATCCTCCCGATCTCTCCCTCATTCCACATCAGTCACACTGGCCCCTCTGCTCAACTCCAACATGCCAACCTCGTCTCCCACCACAGGACCTCTGCACTTGCTGTACCCTTGCCCTGAAATGCTCTTCTCTCTACTTTTTCCATGGTTAGATCCTTCTTGGCTTCAGGGACTCAACTCCACTGTCTTCCAGTTCCCCCACCTCCGATTTCTTATCCTTCCCCCTGGCCTTGATGACTCTAATTTCTGCACGGCATTTACCACAGTCTAAAGTTCCCGTCTTAATCTCTGGGTTTACCTATGCTCCGTCAACCTGGCCTCCTCTCTGTGTACTTGGCACTGAGGCTGGCATGCTGTGGATGCTCAAGAGACACGTGTTCTAAGTGAATGGGACAGAATTCTCTCTCTTCCAGACATGTTGGACGATGATGATGAAGCTGCAAGGCAGCCTCCTGACCCGGAAGAAGCTCCTTGGGGGACCCGGTGGCTTAGCTCACCCTCCCCATCTCCTGGGGAGAAAATGTCTGGGCCTTGAAGCTCCAGGTAGTCCCCAGGGATCTCTTCCTCAGCCCTGTTTCCCACCTCATTAGCATCCTCACCCCATGAGAGAGAGATTATCTAACGTAACAGTCCCAACTAGTCACTGGGCACTAACCACATGCCAGGGATTAAGCACTACTTACGAGATCTGTGTAATTCTCCATAGCAACCCACAGTAACTAAATTACCCCATATTATAGAGGAGGAAACAGAGGTCCAGAGATGTTAAGGACCCTGGCTCAGGGTCATACAGCTGGTAACAGGCAAAATTTGACCGTAGGCCACTTGCCTCGAAAACTCATGTTCCAATCTCTGTCCTGGTCTCCTGGTGACTGAATCCCAGAACAGAACTTGAAGTAGGCCTGCCATGCCCAGCCCCCCCAATACCTCCGCCCCCTGTAATGATTCAATACTTTAGGCTCTGTATTATATTCACCCAACCAGTAACCCTGTATATTTTTGTTTCAGACCGCCCTCTCCAGCTGCTCATGATAAATTTTTTTTTTTTCAATGTTTATTTATTTTTGGGACAGAGAGAGACAGAGCATGAACGGGGGAGGGGCAGAGAGAGAGGGAGACACAGAATCGGAAACAGGCTCCAGGCTCTGAGCCATCAGCCCAGAGCCTGATGCGGGGCTCGAACTCACAGACCGCGAGATCGTGACCTGGCTGAAGTTGGACGCTTAACCGACTGCGCCACCCAGGCGCCCCCAGCTGCTCATGATATAATTACATGTCTACTCATGAGATCATTGTCCCTGTTAGGTTGAAACTGGTGTGAAACAACAGGGGCCTTATCTGTTTTGTACACTGTTGCCTGGCACACAGTAGGTATTCAATATGCACAGAAGAGCAGCACAGATTAGCAGCTAAAATAAACTGGCTTTGCATCTAGTTTTGCCACTTACTTGACCTTGGACTGTGTCAATTTAACCTGGGGCTCAGTTTTTTCACCTAAAAAGTGAGATAATCCCCCCTATTATGTAGCGTTGTTATGAAGATTTTATCAAATCAATAGCTATTTAACACGCTTAAGGTAATGTCTGCTATCATTATCTTTCATTCAACAGACACTGACTTAATACTTGGTGCATCTAAATACCATGACAGGCAACCGATAAGCGGCAAAGAGGGTTTCTGGTCTCATTCTGAGGACAGACGACAAAATGGAAAGAAAGCAATGACAAGCGCTACGGAGGCAAATAAAGCGCACTGAGGACCTAGTGTGACTGGGGATGGGGACGTAAACTGGGATGAAGGCATGAGATTGTCAGAAAGGTGACATTTACACTGAGACCTGAAGGATGAGATGGAGAGCCAGAGGATCTGGTGGGAAAGTACTTCAGATGTCTGGAGCAGCAAGTGCAAAAGCCCCGAGGCAGGAACGAACTTGGTTTTTTGTTTGAGGAACAGCAAGAAAGCCAGTGTGTCTAGACTAGAGAGAAGGAGGAGGAAGAGAATACAAGCTCCTGGAGGGCAGTGGTGTAAATAACCTCTAACAAGTGCTCAGCAAATAACTGCTGAGTGAGTGAAGAGGTTTAGAGCTGGTCAGAGACATTGGTGAGGAATCTGGATTTTAACCATGTTTGATGGGAAGCCACAGGAGGGTTAAGTAATGGAGAACCCTATCTGATTTGCGGGTCTTTTTAAACAATGAATAAGGCCCTCCCCAATTCCCTGTGCCGGGCTCCCACCTTCCAGGTCCACTCCGTGGCGCTGGGCCAAGTGGAGAACATTGTCCCCCACTCTGCCGCTCACCGGAATCCGTTGGCCTGACCGGTCTACGAACACCACGTTCACCCTGGGGACAGATGGAGGTGCAGATGCCAAACTTGATGATGGACGCGGTGGCCAGGTGGAACCTACGGTTGGGGGGGGGGGGGGGGGGGGCTTGACGGTCAGGGGAATAGGACGACGTAGAATGGGACAGAGATGAGGCTGCAGGGCAAGGTGGGGACCGGAGGAACCTCATGGGATAAAGAATAGGGGCCTTATCCCCCTACACTCACACGTCCCCGGGCCGCTCGGGGCCGCCAGCTTCCTCCTCCCCCGCCGGGTGCGAGCCTGAAAAACACGGTTCGGTGAGCGGCCCCGCGGCGCCTTGCGGGGGTCCGACGGATGAACGCTAGCCCCCGAAGCGCCCCAGGTACCTGTCGCTCGGAATCCTCTGGCTGTCGCTGGCGCCGCCGCCTCCCCAGACCCCCAACTGCCTCCGGGCCGGCTCCACCAGGCTCCCCTGGCCGCCCGCAGCAGCAGCCCAGCACTCACGCCTCCCCGGGCCACGGAGGCGGCCATGACAGACATCACGTGACCCGGGACTGGGCATGCCCAGTGGCAGCCGCGCGACCAAAGCGCCCGTAATTGCCCGAATATAAGCCCTGTCGTTTGCGTGGGGCTCGTGAGAGCAAGGGCTTCAGGCAGGAACTGCCAAGGTAGGAGGGCGCCAGGCTAGCTCACCCACACAAAAGTCCTGCGGGGCCATCCCTGACCTCCCACCCACGCCCACTGTTTGTCCCAAGAACCAGCCAGCTCTGCTTTCTTTAAAACCATTTACTTACAAACTTTAATTCAGCAAAGGAAAGTCTGTGAGAGAGGACTGGGGAGACGACACCCCCCTGGAGTGGATGTGGACCCCCCCCAAGAGTCCGGGGAGAGAAGCTGGTGGCCCAGCCGGCCAGGGGGAGGGGCCCAGGCTCTCCTCAGGCCCAAAGGTCCTGCTGCTGGGCAAGGGCAGAGCTTATCCGCCTGAAGTTGCTGGACTCCCACTGGGCCCACAGGAGGCCAGGAGGCCAGCTCCAGGTGATCTAGCCTGGGGATGGAGAGGTGGAGCTCATCTTCAACATGGGGGGTGGGGGTGGGGGGAGACAGCAGAGGCTCAGTGAGATGCACAATACCCCACTCCCACAGACTGACAGCAGGACTGGTTTGAGCTGGCAGAGAAAACCCGTCTCTGCACCTAGGCCTGGGCAGGAGGGATGATGAGTTGGTTTGCCAAAACCAAGGCTTTGGCCTTTTACTGTCCCCAGAGTGGGGACTCTGGGTAGAGGGGCCCAATCCCCAGGCCAGAGCCATTTGGTCCTGAGTCAAGCTTCCGGAGCTCGGCATCTAAGAGGCTCTGACCGCAGGGCCTGGGACCCGGCTTTAAGGCATCAGAAGGTGAGGGAACTGTGGCAGGAGGCTGGGGACCCCGAGCTGGAATACAGGCCAGAGTGGGCGGGCAGGGGCAGGGCACATCCATGCCTGCAGCAGACAGGACAGGAAAAGGGCTGAGCCATTTCAAACCGAAAGTGTGGAATGAAGGCCCAGACAGGCTGGACCTTGAAGGAATCAGAGCTGGGGGTCGTCCTGGATTGTTTAAAAAATAATACAAATTAGAAAAGGAAACAAAAGTCAATCGTCAAAGTTAAAAAAGGGGGACAGTCTCTGATCCTCACGGGAGGCCAGGGGAACCTCCAAGGCACTCGAAAGGCCAAGATACAGGAGTGACGAGGCAGGAGAGGACTCCCAGAGAGACAGACACAGGCGGATACAGGGGAGGGGAGAGAGAGCTGGCCAGGGCCCCTCTCTCTTAAGGCTGTAGAGTTTCCATGCCGGGAGCTGGCCCCCAGACTCCCCCACACTCCTTGGGCTCCGGCTGGTTGGTCAACAAAGTCTTTCAGAGATTTTTCTATTACTGAAAGGGGGAGAGGGAAACACAAACAGAACACCAGAAAACCCAAAAGCAATTCGGTGCAGGCCCTTGAGCATCTGGCGCCGGCCCCTTAGAAAATCCTCTTGCGCTTCAGGTAGGAGTCTGCGTAGTGGCCGCCGAGGCCCTGGGAGTGCTGGCCGACGTAGCTGCCTTCTGGACTGGGCTCGGGCGAGGGCAGCAGGTGGGCAAAGCTGCGTTTCTGGCCACCCAGCGGAGTCTAGAGACAGAGGGGAGGGGGTGGCACGTCAGGGGCCATCTGGGGGCCACCGCTCCCCAGCCCCGCGTGCTCCCGTTGCCCCTCCCCAGCTCCATACCTTCAACAGGTGGCTGTGGCCGTTGGGCCCAGGGCCGAGGCCCAGGAGCCCTTCTCCAGAGCCCAGTGGAGAGGAGCCGACCGCCTGGGAGACATGGGAGAGAGATGGAGTGGGAGAGGAAGCAGCCCCCAGGGCGAAGGCAAGGGGTTTTGGGCTCAAATCCTGCCTCTCCCACTCATTAGCTAGGACACGGGGGGGGGGGGGGGG